GCAGCGCGCGGTAGCGCGTGCGATAAACGTAACACTAAGTTACATCCAGCGAATTTTTTTTCAGACTTTATTATAGTAATACGGTATAAGCTAGCCTGCACGCCCGACCTACTTGCGAGATATTGCTATTGTTTTGAGATCGCATTCGAGTTTTGTTTTCTCGATTGTAAATCTGCCATTTTTGCATCCTAATTTTAATAAAATAATTACTACCAAGACAAAATAATTTGACATCGGGAAAACAACCATTAAAATTTCAGCGTGTATATTGGATCAATCTGTGTGTATATCCTTTCAAATAAAAAAATCTAAATCGGTTTAGAAATTGTAGAATGCTGAGGTAAAAAAAAATACACCGAATTGAACACCTCCTCCTGTTTTGAAGTCGGTTAAAATTAAATATTACACAATATGCTTCATGTATTCGAGCGAATTAATTGTGTTTAATAATATTCTTAAATTTTATTACGTCTGTATTTTTGTACCATTAAAATATGTATAATTAAGTTATATTAGTACCATCATTATCGTGTTTATTTTATTCCATTTTATATTCTCATAAAATATATCTTCGTACGTAATACGTAATCTTTATTATATCGATTTTTTAAAATTAATCAAAAAATAGTGATTTGCACAATTTGATTGCAAACGCCAGACACTGGTATCACTGAATGGCGTGTATGTGTGCGTGTGACGAGCGTAGGCACATTCGACTCGCGCCCACTAACATTATGACTTTGCATCATTTTAACGCTCGTGTTTTGTACTGGACTGCGTTTCTATGCGTAATAATTCTATGATTTTAGAAAAATACTAAGGGTTCCGTGCAACAAAATTAAAATCCTAAATTACGCGCGGAAGTAGTCGCGGGGAACAGCTATTTATGATTAAATTACCAGCGTAACAAAGTATTTAAAAAAAAAAACTATTTTACAATACTCTGTTGTGTTAGTAATTTCTGAGATTTCATATATTGTAGTATTGTATGATAAGCCACGACATGTTATGTATAGTAGCTATTAAATTATCGATCCTCTCTTGTTTTCTTGATAGCCTTTTTTGGTACACTAAGACAATTTTGGCCATTAATATTGTTGCTGGTATTCGTCTTGCTGGTCGTCGATTGTCGTTCCTTTATTTTTTTAAAGTTCTCAGCACGAGAATCTTAATATTAAAGATTTTACCTCTTAAGGGGTTTACCATTTTTGTTAATTCTATGTTTTGTATCCGTCGCTCATCGCATAGTCAAGCTTTAGAATATCAGTAGATAAATTACTTAAATGGCAAGTTAGCAATTTACAATGAATTTAGGGCATGGCATGTAAGTACAATCTTCATTCAGAGTTGAATATTAGATCTGTAAAAGGGAAATTATTGCAATAGCCATAGATAAGTCAGCATTTGTAGACAAATAAGACTAAGAACTTTTATGGATATAATATAAATATGTATAGATATGTATAGATACAAATAAATAAAATTGAAGTGTCTGTTTGTAATGTCAAAATTACAGTTTTTTACTAAATGCATATGAAAGTAAATACGGTACTTATAACTAAAACACAATTTTTAAAATTTTTGTCTGTCTGTCTGTGTGACGGGACTTTCACTGGTAGATAGCTGATTTCATAAGGAGTAACTTAGGCTACTTTATTTAGAAACTTTTATTTTAGAAAAAGAATTAGAGTTCCGTGCAAAAACACAAAAACCCTAACACGCGGGCGAAGTCGCGGGGAACAGTTAGTTTTCCAATAAATTTAAAACATTCTCGGCCTTATTACAGAAAGAAGTGTATATTTATTCTGCATTTGTGAAAGTATTTTTATGAAAGTGATTTTAGTTAAAAAAAAAACGCGAATATTGTATGAAATTTGACAGTAAATGTCAAACGTTTCACAAAGTTCACTTTTGTTAGAAGGACTATTCTTAAACCATAGTCACTATCCAACTAACCGTAACGGTGCGTACACATTATATAAAACATCGTTATATAACATGTTTCAGTCTGGAGGCTGAATGTTATAAAACGTGTTATATAATTCGAACGGCAGATCGACCAACGACAATGTCATACGACAATGTCATATAACATTGTAATATTGTATTGTTATTCTAAAGTGTACAGTATTGTTATATGTTGCAATGTTGAAAAACAATGTTACAAAATGTGGACGTGTTATAAAACAAAAGTTATACAACATGTTACTTGATCTGTACGCATCCTTAGACTATCAATAAATCGTGTTTGACTCAGTCATTAAAGAAATGTATCTAGTGGTAGTAAAAAATAGAAACTAGTTTAGTTTAGTTTAGATTTTGATCACCATAATATCTTGATGAAGAGCCGTGGTAACTCAGATGGTTAGCGCTCGCAGTAAATTTCACAGTACGCGAGAAACCCGGGTTCGATCCCCGCCGGCACTAATGAAATTGTTAATTGAAATTTTAAGTGTTGATTTGCCATATGCTCGGCGGTGAAGGAAACATCGTGAGGATACCTGCATGTCTGAGGAATAAGAAAATAAAATTTCGAAGACATGTGAGGTTCGCCAGCACGCATTAAGCTAAAACCTTCTCAGAAATGACGGGAGGCCTTTGCCCAGCATATTTGAATTAGAAGTCAGCAGATCTGACTTCTAATTCAAATATGCTAATCCTCTATCGTTAAAAAATACTTAATTATTAGTATTACATCTAACAGGCGGAATGAGATCACAGTATCAGAGGTACCGCACCTTTTACGATATTATCCGTTGCCGAGTCGTTACTCGTTGTACCAGGATCCATAATAGCCAGCGCTTTTCCCACGGCTCACCTAACGGGTTGAGATAGGTAAATTATTGATACATAGCGCGTAGTTCCGCCATATAAACATACACTAATTATATGTACTTGCTTTAATTATACAATTAAAGTTTTTGATCCGATGAGATTATCTCTTTCTATTGTCATTTATATTGAAAAGAGAGAGAGAGAGAGAGAGATATTTTAAGCAATTCTTAAATGGATGTGATTTTTTATAAGTAAGGTAGTTCTTGCACAAAGCGCAGTCGCATCAACATAAATGCGGCTTACAATTATACGACGTAAATTCGGATCACTGTGTTCTGCTAAAGGCAACGGCAGCGGTTTTTGAAAACGAATTAAAATCATATATTGTTTTTGAAAAGATTGCAAATATGATGCGATGAAAATCTTATGCTTTTACGTGAGTAATACAGATGTAAGCTATGGATGTAAGGATATCTGTAAGTTGTTATTAAACTATTGTAAAGATTTTTAAGAAACTTACGCTATTAAAGTTTTTTAAGTAAGAAATTTAAAAACAAAAGTCTATTTCGGAAAAATACGTTAAAAAAAATTAACTTTGCTAAACTGTAAACTGCAAATACTTAAAGATACACCCATGTTACCCAATTATGACGCTGATTGAATTTTGTATCTTACTTTTAACTGACCAATTGTGTTTTATATGAAGATAACTCCACTCATCTCGATGTTATTGATCTAAAATTGCCGAGTTGAATATTTATTGCAATACTAGTAATAATAATGATCTAGCAAGCGGAGCGTCTTGATATCTTGTTTAGAATATAACTGAGCATTTGACGGTAAAATGCATGATTTACTTCATGGTAAAATGACTAGCTACGATAAATTTAATATCTTAGTCAAACGATACAGACAAGATCACGAGACCGTGACTTAATAACCAAAACCTCAGTCTCGACACCTTTCATAGCCCATACATATCCTTCACACGCTAGATAGTTGGGTAGGTGTAGGTGAACGCAGAGGTAATGAAATGAGAAACTAGAGGGTCTGCTCTCGCACTAGTAGTGCTTCTTTGTATTTAAATTCCATTTGCAAGATTTAGAGTCTGGATTTTCGAATGGATATACCGTCATTTTTAGGTGGTTGTTAGTTATATAGGATGTACTGGTTCATTCATTCATTACAGTATATCAATGTCTACTGCTGAATGTAAGGGTTATCTATAGATTCCTTAGTGTTTATCAGGAAGATGCTGCTGACCAGCTCTTGTTTCATTTCCCTCCGTTGCTTCTTCTTCCCACGAGATGATATGGATCGGGGTATTGGACTGGATTCCCTTACTGTACTGGCGAGCAGTACACATACATTTTTGATTGAAATTTGGGGCAGTGCTGCAAAAACAAAACTGGCAGAATTTATAAATATGTTTTTTATAAATTACTCAATATATATATACTCAAAGTAAACTCATAATAATTTAAAATTAAAAATGTTGTACAATCGACTTCAATATAAATTATTAAGAATAACTCAAACCTATTGGTCAGACCTTGATCAAATTTATATAGGACCACATGTGAAGCACCAGCTTTCAATTAAAAAAAAATCATCGAAATCGGTTTACCCGGTAAAAAGTTATGAAGTAACACACATAAGAAAACATACAGTCGAATTGAGTACCGGCTCCATTTTGAAGTCGGTAGAAAATATTATTCACCTACCCATATTTAACATCAACCGGTAAAATTTATATCTATAGATGCAAAAATAATGAATACCAAACAACTATATATTTACCATACACGTATTATTATCAGAAAAATTCTGACTAAAAGTAGTTTACACAAACATAACACTCGCCCAATATAAACAAATCAGTCAACGTAGCACACGACGAGCTAGCTTAGTAGTCTTACCCAAAACAAGAACTAACTATGGCAAAAAATGTTTGCTTTTGAAGGAGCACAGCTTTATAATAGAATACCATACTCTCTAGTATAAGAATTTTACACTCTTTCAATGCATTCAAAACTCAACTTAGTCTGTATATAATTACGGATCGATAACTTCTGGAGAAATGAAGGCATTGAATGGGTATATCTATTACTATTTGTAACTGATGACGACGAACTTTATGTAATGTATGAATGTGTTAATTAATATTGTTCCCAAGTGAGTGACATATGCCACATTGTTTATAATCTATACAACCATATTTTCAGGACTTCGAAACGTGTGTGCTGAGTGGAGACCGTGAATGTCGCTACGTAGAGGGCGAGACGCACGAAGGAATTGGTGACCATCGTCGACAGACATTGTTCTTCTGTGGACACGAACCGCAGTGCACGTATGTATTTTTTTTTCATCATGAACGTTTTAAATTTCCGCTATTTATTACCACTGCTTGTTTTGATATTTGCGAGGTTAAGCTGTATAAGCTAATATAATATATAAGCATATTTACATATGATGCTGTCCTTTTGCCTGATTTTCGACTTTGGTAATAACTTTCCGAGCGAACACAATCGACTGTGGGTGATAATATAACGCTACAAGGTTTTTTTTTATATAGAATAAGGGTTACAAACGAGCACACAGTCCACCTGATGGTAAGTGGATGCTGTGGCCCATAGACATCTACATTTATCCTCGATTAAGAATCAAAATGCAGATGCGTTGTCACCCTAAGTACTAAGACGGAGTGCCTCGTTTCCAGTAAAAAGGGTCTCCGGTCCGGTCTACACTCACCATACGAAACACAGCAGCATTAAGCTGCTATTTTACGTAGGTATTCTGTGAGAGGGTGGTCCCATCCCGGTCGAGCCGACCCATACGTGCTACAACCATAATATAGCTGCAGCAAGGCTATACTACTTAAAAAATAAAAAGTTTTATTGGTCTGAAGCAACAAGTAATGCCGCAAACAGAAATGCACTCACTCGTACTGACCTTCACATGGCCCCCGTGGCAATGTAAGACTTAGTTTATGTGGTTAGACCACAATGCAGACCCAAAAAACAATATTTTGTGTTTTGTGTTTTTTTGTTTTGTATTTTTAGTTTATGCGCAAAAAATTGCCTTAGGCTGGGATTTTAACCATTCGAATTACTTACGGCATAGAAACTAGGCATTATTTACCTAGTTAGTCATCGATCTTAATTTCATATAATGCGTGCAAAACCCTCAGACCAATAAAATAGTCTTTTATTGGTCTGAGGCGCAACCTTAAATATCCACTGTACTGTATGATAATGGCTCCTCTCCACTACTGGCCATTGATGATGATAAGTACAATGTATGATATTTATAAACATATTAAAATTTAATCTTTATTTTATTAAATTTATTCTCTCAGACGATTTTTTTAGTTGTTTTTTGACGATTTGGTAAGACATGCAGGAAGTCGATGTATTCAGGTAGCTGACGATTGGCTTTTGTATACACACCGTATTGCGTGACTTCCCTTGGAAGTGGCTTATGTTCACTGCATGTTTCAGTGGACTTGTGAAGAGCTATAATGATTACCTATATATTATATATTACACTCTGGGAATTTGTCTTGAATTGAATAAGGCTAAGAAACATGGGAGAAGGTGCTGAATCCTGGCATACAGGTTCTTACCTAGTTTAGGATTTAGAGGCTTCATAAACTATTTGTAACCACATATTATCTCAATAAAGATTGTTATTATTATGATGATGATGAGACTTTAAAGTACGTAAACGAATTCTGTAATTCTGTAAAAGCCAACGAGTGCTAAAAATCGTGGTAAGCTCCATCTACACACGGTGTATTACTACTCTGATTAACAGACGATTGGCTGTGTAGACCGACTAACCGCGAAGATCCACCCAAAAACCTATGTTCACCAGTAGAACTAAAAAGACTGTTGATTTGTGTGATAAATTTGAATAAATTGGTTATTCACTATGCTATTTATGTCCTTTGTTTGCTAGATATGGCCTTAGACACAGAAAACAAAATTTATAATTTGTAGACTTAGAAAAATGATTTTCTCGTACTGAACCTATGTTGCCATCTAGCGGCAAATGTCTATATTACGTTGAGATCAAAGACAGAGTAAATAAGTTGTATGAACAACTATCAACGGAGTTATAATATTCTTACGCTCACCAGATGTCGCTAGTTGGGACTAAGATAACAGATACAGTGTCACCGTCAATAAAATGTTGCCTTATAACTTATAATTAAAAACATATTTTAGTTTTCTACACATATTTAACTTTTTTTTTAATTGTTTTATATTCGTTTTATCCAATTTGGTTTATCAATTCTAATATCTATTCCATCCATCCATTATAGCTTATAAAAGTCCACGGCTGAACATTGGCCTCTTCTAGAGATTGTTTCATAGTGAGGATTTTGCCATAGTTGCCATGCTTGGCAGGCGGATTGGCAACCGTAGTTTTTGTTACCGTGAGTTGTTATCAGGAAGATACTGCTGCCCATCTCCTGTTTCAGTTCCCCACTGCCGTCTCTTACAACATCCATCTTACAACATTTACGACATTTTTTTTATACTTATTTTGTTTCTAATCTAATTAATTTAAAATATAACTATATAATATTTTAGAAAGAAACATTGATCTCTACACTTTTCTAACAAATTAAGTTCTTCCGCTATGAAATCTGTCCAATATTTCACGTAGCGCCGCCATGGTTGATGGATGCTTCACTTATTGATCTCTACAAACACTAAACTCCTTATTTTAACATAATTATTAAATATAGCGTACGAGTATATCGTACTTGTGGCTATAATATCTCTTGCGTAATTAATAACTTCATAGTATAGTATAGAGGAAATTGTCGCCGTGGTCGAAATCTGCGTAGAACCATTATACCCCTTATACGTGGTAAAGCCATGCCGCAGCTATATTAGTAGTATAGTTGTAGCACGAATGGGTCGGCTCGACCGGGGAAGGACCACGCTCTCACAGAATACCAACGTAAAATAGCAGCTTAACACTGCTGTGTATTCGTATGGTGAGTGTAGAGAACCGGAGACCCCTTTTACTGGAAAAGAGGCATTCCATCTTAGTCCTCACGGCTGACAAAGCATCTGCATTGATTCTTCATTGAGGAGAGATGTAGATGTCTTTGGGTTACAGCAACCACTTACCATCGTCAGGTGGACTGTGTGCTCGTTTGTCACCCTATGCTATAAAAAAAAGAGATACCACTATAATGATGAGCTAAACTAGTGTATAATATACAGGTATAAGCACTTAGCTTTTGGTTATCAATATGACATATTATTATAGCTTTTTAGTTTATTTTATTATTTAATATTTACTATGACTTATGAGCAGTGGATTGTTATAGGCTACAATGATAATTATGATTTTTATTATTTAAAATGTATACGAGTCTGCGGTGTTTCATATCTTTAGTTAACGTAATTAATTTGGCAGTCTATTAAATATGACGATGTAAATAATGCTCTATCGAAACTAGTACATTGGTTTAACGCCAACAATTTGCTCTTAAACGGCAATAAGACAAAATGTATTAAATTTACAATACCTAATGTAAAACATTCGAAAACCAGTGTGCTCTTAAATGGGGAGGAGTTGAGTCTTGTGGATACCACTGTTTTTCTCGGTATTACTATTGACGCGAAACTTCAATGGGGCCCCCATATATCTAAATTAGCAAGCAGACTTAGTTCTGCAGCATATGCTATAAGAAAGATTAGAAGTCTCACTGATGTTGAGACAGCTAGGTTAGTGTATTTTAGTTACTTTCATAGCGTAATGTCTTATGGAATTTTGCCATGGGGTAATGCGACTGATATTGAAGCTATATTTGTTTTGCAAAAGAGAGCCGTACGGGCGATTTATAATCTAAATTGTAAAGAGTCCCTTAGAGAAAAATTTAAAGAAATAAACATATTAACTTTGGCATCGCAATATATTTATGAAAATGTAATGAATGTACATAAAAACATAAATAGCTTTAATAAGAATAAGGATGTTCATACCTTAAACACTAGGAACAAACATAAGCTTGTAATGCCACTTACAAGACTCCACAGAATTAGTAATTCATTTATGGGGCAATGTATACGCTTTTACAACAGAATCCCAGAACATGTTCAAAGTTTGTCAATAAACAAGTTTAAAAATTTATTAAAGAAAAACTGTACAAAAAGGATTATAATATCGGGGAATACATGAATGAAAATAACCCCTGGGAATAAGGTGATCGCCACCATGCTGGTTCTATGAAAATTCATTTAAAATTGTATAAACAAAATTATTGTTAAGTAAAATTATGTTTAAAAAAAAAGTCCCGCTGGGTTTCTTGCTGGTTCTTCCCAGGACAGAGGTATTTTCCGAACCAGTGGGAAATAAAATAATGACTTTCAATAAGTATTATGTAATAATCCATATTGAATAAAAATCATTCTATTCTATTCTATTCTAACATTCTACGTCAACTAACACAAATAATCTTACGACACAAACGAGACTAAATTGGATAATGCATTAATTAAAGATCATTTGTTCTTTAAAGATGGCAGCAATTTTAACAATCATAAACAACAAATTGACAACACCATTAGTCGGACGACACTGTATAGTAGTAAAACGGTTATCGGTGTAAAAGAAAAAATAAAGAGTTACTTACCGTCGTTTTACCGTCTTTATACGTCCTACTGCTGGGCGCAGGTTACTGTCATTTCTGAGCGGGTCCTCGGTACAATTTCTTTAAAAATACCCACGTAACCACCAAGGGTGTTTTAAACGTGGTAGAGCTATGCTGCAGATATATTAATTGTATAGTTGTAGCGCTAAAGTGTCGGCTCGACCTGGAAAGGACCACGCTCTCACAGAATACCAGCATAAAATAGCAGCTTATTGCTGCTGTGTTTCGTTTGGTGAGTGGAGAGACCCGGAGACCCTTTTTACTGGAAAAGAGGCATTGTATCTTAGTCCTCAAGGCTGACAACACATCTGCATTTTATTCGCAACGAGGATAGATGTAGATGTCTATGGGCCACAGCAACCAATTACCATCAGGTGAACTGTGTGCTCGCTTGTCACCCTTATCCTAGAAAAAAATCTGAGCGGTTCTACGGTGCAATTAAAAAAAATACCTATGTTACCACCAAGGGTTATTAGTGGGTATGAAACGGTAATGGACCACGACAATATCCTCTAATTCTTAACGTTGTGTTGTAGGCCATTCAACAGCAACGAAGCCTTGCAACGCGCTAAGCAGGTGGTAGAGCAGCAGTACGCGGTGGTGGGAGTTCTCGAGGACATGAATGCCACGCTGCTGGCGTTTGAACGTTACATACCTCGATTTTTCCGGGGTGCCTTGCGGCTTTATTGGGGTAAGGCATACAAAATTATTGAATGTACTCATGTTATCATAATAATTTGAGGTAACAAAGGTGTTATTTAATAATAATATTTAGTACTTATTAATAACAGAAAAATTATCAGCTCTACTTTCTATTGGATCGTGGTCTAAAATATGTAGGTACTATTTATTATTTTTATTGCATTTCTTTAACATAGAGGCAACTACTTGGCCTGAAAATGTTGTTCTGCATTTTCTGGTAGGTGGCGGGATGAGTCTTTCTCAAAATTCTCTCTAGCCTTTTTAAAGTGTAAATAACATTTATTTATAACTCGACCACAATGCCACCTACCGGGTCCAGATCTTGTGATTTTCTTTCTGGTACTTAACCAACTTATTACATGGTAAATATGACTCAATTAGGCCCATAAATTTGAAATTTATTTATAATATAAGTTCTGTTGAGGTGGTGTGACTATTAATGATTAGCGATTAGATTATAATTGATTATTATAGCGATTTCGCAATAAGTATCGACTATCGAATATTATTAAAAGCTATTACCTATATTAAAACTATTATAGTGCCTAAACATGGGGGCAAAACACAATTATCGGACGTCTTCTTTCGAGTATTTGATTTTGCTCTTTGATACTATAGAATAGATGCAGAGCAAAGAACCTTTACCGTGGTACCAAGTCTACTTCTGAACTTATGATTTCGTCAAATTAAGCATTATACTGACTACAATAGCTAATGTCTGCATGAGCCAGAAATTACTGACTTAATTTTTTTTTTCAATTGCAGAAGAGTTGAACACGTTTAACAGAATCAACCGAAACGCTTTCAAGCCTCCAGTGTCAGAGGCAGTAAAGCAAATTGTTCGCGCAAACTTCACGAGAGAGATCGAGTTCTATGAATTCTGCAAACAGCGCCTCTACACACAGCTGCGGGCTCTTAGAGATCCCACCATCACCCTGCCGGTCACCATGGGAAGCATAAAGAAACCAATACGAACGGACTTCCACGACAATTATTTAAGAACATAAATCTATTGTAATTTCATACTAGCGATAAGACTGTTAAAATAACTAAAAAATGTATTGAAATAACTTTAAACGCGGCATTTGAAAGTCGATAAAATGTGAATTGTTTAGGTAGTATAATATTATTAACTGGCAATCTTAGCCGAAGTTAAAGGTCTCAGTAGAGTGTCATGACGTTGTAATAGGGTCCCGAGTCGCGGTTGCTCGAGTTGGGCCTTAGCCTAAGCTCAGAGTCTCCCTGTAAAGGCTCCAGTACACAATGACTTATGCTTTTCGACTACAGGCCATGGCCATTGTGTACAGGGGGCAATGGAGCACGATGGCGGACAATCAGAGTGGGAAATGTGGCTTACAATTGGCAAATGACTTTTCTCCGACGGGCAATGCTGGCTTACTGTGGGGCATGGCCGAGCATGGGGCATTATATACTTGGGCCTTAAAAAAGCCCGTGCTTGTAACAAACGCCACGGGCTTCGCCCCACTCCACGCTCACTACTCAGTTTCTGAACACAGTCTTAGTTAGATACAATTTCTTAGCAACTAAGAGGCTGACATTGTTTTAGTTTTGTTGATATTCATCTTTCGTGTAATTCGTTCCAAAACAAAATTTGACTCCTAATTTTTTTTAATATTTGACGTTCACTTTATTTAAAGTTTATTTTTATTTTTGTTTAATTTATTTATTTTATTTACAAATAAGAATTTTATATAATTCTTGTCCAATTCAAACTGTAATTTAATCACTTATAATAACTACAAATTGCAAAGTTTTATATGCAAATTATTAGAAGCCTTATGAAAGAATTAGTTTAGTAATGGTTTGCGAGTTGTTAAGATTGGCATATATAATTCACTCATCAACAGCCTTTATTAGTTCACTGTTGAATATAGATGTTAAAATAAGCTTGCTTAGGTTTGCCCATAATCTGCATCCTGAGTGGCAGGATGCAGATTATGGGCAAACCTAATGCAAACTCCTCAACTCCGAATTATCCAGGGTTATTTTTCAAAGAGTAGTCAAATTTTAAACTTAAGTTCAAATATATAAATAATGATCTACCGATATTGCGGTTTTTGAAAATATGAGTAAAAAAAGCTTCTAACTTTATTTTAAATTATCCCACATTGAATGTAATTTATGGGCAAAAACATTTTTGCCCACCGATCGACTCTTACGAATGTGTGCGTTTGCAGTAAAACCAGTTAAAATAGTGAATTACCACATATTTTGAATTTAAAAGGTAAAAAGGACAGAATTATTGAGTTTTTTTTTAAATTAATTTTCTTCACCATTTGCCTACATTACTTATTCTGAACCTTCTCTGCCGGTTATTGCAAAATAACCCTGTATATTTTATTTAACACTACATAGCAGACAGGTCATACTAACGTAGTATTTGCTACTAAATATAAAACATTAAGCGCAGAATGTGTGACATTATTATCTTATATAAGGTTCTTTAAGTTCGAACTTCATTAAATAAAGGCGGTGAAAACGCAAAAATATTTTTCTTATACACACATACATATTTATAGTTGTTATAATAAGTAGCTGTTATGTTTATCCAATGCATGCATTTAAAATTAATTTGATATAATTGAAGGCTTCGGTTACTCTGTTGCAAAGTGATACTTATAATTATTATTTTGTTTAATAAAGCCTTAAAAGAGAAATTTATCTTCGGAAAGGTCCCGCGACAGACCCGCAGCAGATAACACTTTTGTTCTGAATGTTAATTACTGTACAGTTTTATATCAGTATGTTAAGTATCAACTTATTTATTAATAATATCATCCCACAATTGTGATATGTTTAGCCTTATTATATTTTAAGTAGGACTGCTTATGTACATTAAACTGCAAGAGAAATAATACATGATTGTTTTATTTGTAATGTTAATGTCTATGACCTTTTATTATATTTACACGAACCTAAACTCATTTTACAAATTTTATCGCGATTAATTTAAATTATTTTAACAGACTTCAAAAAAGGTGGAGGTTCTCATTGAGACTGTTTTTTTTTGTGTGTTACCTCAGAACATTTTTTCTTGGTGAACCGATTTTGATGATTTTTTTTTATTTATTTTTTATTTAAAAGCTGGTGCTTTTCATGTGGTCCCATATGGTTTTGATCGAGATTTGACCAGTAGTTTTTGAGTTATCATCGACTTTAATTCTATTCGACTGCGACTACATTGATGATGTTGTCGTTTTATTTATATTGAAGTTGTTTGGATTTTTTTTAATTCTACCACTTGTTACTTATTTTCTCCCCATTACCATCGGGTATACGTGGGGATTAAAAATAATTAAACGCGATAAAATCCGTAAAATTAGTATTATTCAATGTTGACATCTATGCTCAGGGATCAATATTATAAATACTGACTCTAGTTTAAGCCTGAGAGTAATTATATATAGTAGTAAGTATATAGCCACTTTCGTAATAAGACGGTAAAAGTCGTCACTACTCTATAGCAATATAGAATATAGTGTCATACGTCAGTTTTTAAAAACAAAGGAATCATCTTATTTGTATATATTTAAATACTAATAATTTAATTTAACTTAAAATGGAAAAATCGAGTTTTGGCACTACCTAAAGTTGCAAATTTAAATTATTTGATGTAGTTGTTTATTAAAGGTTGTCTCAACTACCCAATTTTAAGAATGGCTAAATTCCTAGTTGCGTTCATAAGGTAACGGTTAATAAAACAGCGCAGCTTAAATTTGTGGAAAATATTTAATTAGGAAGGTAATTATTATTATTAACACAGTTGTCAAATCGTAACAATAACAACTATACAGAAGAACGTTGACGTATCGGTATATTGTAAAAGTAATATGGCCACATTAAGGATTCAGGTACATACAAAAATTAAAGCAAAGTAATAAATATTGCTGCCAGCTTAAAAGTAATAATAATTTAATTCCATATCTACTATTAGTCTTCTCGAATCAATAAAATCTCAAATTTCAAAACAATTACTATCCATTATTTCAGACGAAGTATCATGATATAAAGTTGTCTAAATATAAAAATAGAAAATAGAAATATACCTATCTACTTAACAGCATTTAAAGACTTTAGTTAAATTATTCCCACTTATTATATATTGCTTAATGTTGTAACACGTGTAGGATTATTATACTTATTTAATACCTGACTAATATTGACAAAGATTTATGAGAGCTTTATTAATTATTTATAGCAATCTAAAAAACGAATTTCGTACATGACACAGATAATTATGAATTATATTTGCACTATTTATTACAATAATTAATATATTCAAATAATCTATACTTCATAGTAAATGTGAATAAAATCTAAGTGTTTGTTTTGATATAAAACTATTTATTCAATACGGCTATAACATTTTGTAAAAAATATAAAAATATTAATATCATTCAGAATTCATCTCTCCAACTATGTACAAAAAAATTCATTAATTCGATTTCTCGTTCGTGATAATCATAACTACATCGTATTATATCATTTTATTGTTCTCGTGTACACTATACTACAAAATAATTTTATTAAAAATAGAACAACCTGAAAGACCGCAACTTCAAATGGCACGTGTAACGAGACGATTTCACGCTCGAATAAACTCTACGCCTACTCTAAATTATATCACAAAACGCTTCACATGTTAAGCCTCATTATATTAGGACGCCCCGTTTTGCTTCTTTCAGGAATTGATCGTTGTCAGCGCGGACCAAATCATGACTGATTACAACATCACCAGCAACTCCAGTCTTTCGCCTGAGCACATGCTTGCTACTCCGGGCCAGCCGGACTCCAGTCTTTCGAATATTCACCATCATCACTCCCATACTAAGACCACCTCTAAAATCGTTTAGGTCGTCAGTAAAACGACGGATGCCAGTCCACAGTAGGATGAAGCGCTACTGGTGTTGTCGACATTGGTGCTGTTGCACCCAAAGCTAAACAATCAAAACAATAATTGGATCCATCATTACTGTCCCAAAACTGTTGCCCTTTACATTGGAAACGAACAGCCAGTTCTAATCTCTGTCCAGAAGATATACACGGCGCATACAAAACAAATTGAAAACGATCTGAGTATCCATCACAAGAGCCCTGTACGTATGTTGCTTGCAGGTCAGTGTATGTTTTCCATCGATTCATGGTGTAACGAACATGGACAGTCTTGTGAAAATCTAAATTCCGTACACGCACTGATCCGCAAACCGTTACATGAGCCCCGTCGCAGACACGTGCACTTTCCAGGCATACGTTCATTTTTTCAAGTTTCTCTGTGACATCGCGTGGCAGTTGGAACAATGGGACCAATGTTAGAGCACCAAATTTGGGGGGAGGTCTAGCTGGTGGAGAATTTTGTACATCGCAACCGGTAAGATCATCATAGGCGGACTTTGGAATGACTGGTATCTCATCCATGAATGTTTTAACATCAGCTAAATCAAGTCCCAGTACATCAGCAAATCGAACAATCTTTTTACGTCCTGGCGTTCCGGGTGGCGTTTTTCCAGTCTTAAGTGAAGAGCACCTGCGAACGCGCTGTGGACGATCGTCTTCAGTTTCTTCATCTTCTTTAGATTCTGTGTTTAATAATTTAGGATCGATTTCAGCCACATACGATACATCTTTTTCATCAGGAACTTCAATGGTAATTATTTCGGTTGCATTTATATCAATATTATTAGCAGACGTTGATTTAATGTCAGTTGAATCAGTGGGGATTTCTTCTTCAACGAGATCCGCATCGGTTATTGATAAGTGTTCTACGCCTTCTGTTGCATCCTTTTCAAAAGAGTTTTCACTTAAGGTAATATCATCCAGGGTAACTCCATCGGATGGGTCGCTTTTAGCAGATTCGAATTCAGAATCACTATCAGGAACCGTTAATTTATTAATTGGTGAACTAAACCGTTCAGACTCAACGATTGTAGGAGATTGAGTCGCAAAGTCGATTTCGTCACAACTATTTTGTCGTGCACAGCCTTCGAAA